TCAGTTATGGATCATAACTGACCACGGGAGAGACAAAGAATGCCACAACCAACATCTGTCACAAGAAGCTTCCCATTGAGAACAGCAGCATCATAAGATGCCATATTCGTACCCATGCTCGCTATCCGCCGCCAGCTCCCCTTTTTAGGATCCAAAACTTCTGCTGAGTCAAGCTCAATAAGATCAGCACTATTTCCCCCAGCTACATATATCACCCCATCAATCACTCCACTAGCAAAAAATGACCTTGCTGTAATCATCTGATTCATCACAGTCCAACGGTTTTTCTGCACCTCATACTTCAAGACCAAGTCAAGAGGGCAATCCACATCAGATACCATACCTCCACAAACAAAAAGAGTACCCTCTAGAGGAATTGAAATGCACCTAAATCCATGGGGACAAACCTTGTCCTTGCAAGGCATTGCAGGGATTGTGTGCCAAGTGAAATGAGTAAGGTCAAGAACCTGCCACTGAATCTTTCCAGTACATTTGTGAAATGCAAAGACAAAGAGCCAAGGGTCTTTAAACCCGAGTTGTTTCCTTCGGGTGAAAAACCTCTCTTTATTACCAAGCAACTGATGCCATCGCTTGCATACAGCTCTATAGGTTGCGTGGCTCTCAACCGGTAACCTAAGCAGACAATTTAACGCAACATCATCGGGAAGACCAGGTATAAACGGTTCCCCTCTGAAAGACAAATCTAACTCTGAAGGTGGATCTAACATTGAAGATTGAACCACAGCTAACCTAAACTTCGGGGACAGCGTCATCTGCGAATCCCCTAACTTGTGAACAGGTGTATGTTGTGCCGATAATCGAACTCTCTGCATCTCTCTTCCTTATAAACAAAACCTTATAGCTGGTTTAGGAGACCTTGATTTCAGTCCAAATACGTTGTATTAACCATGAAAACAAATTGTTTAATTTGAGAACATCAATCAAAACACCTTAAACCCAAACCAACGCTAAGAATCTATTCCAACCCTCAGTTATTCTCTACTAACTCACAACCTCAAACAAAGAATCCCCAAATCTGAACCTATCAGCAACTTCCTCTACAGGAAACCCTCAAAACAGAATATCCACAAAACCCAATCCTCTCCATCTCAATCCCCAAAGAAAACTCAAATTTCAATCAAGAAACTACAATCTGTCCATCCAATACAAAATACTCTCGTCTATCGCTCGAACGTGTAAACAATTCAAAGCAAACTAACAAAAACCAGAGAACAGAGACCAGAAACTAATTCACCAACTTACAATTACAGAAGAACTTCGCTCGAATTTTGCTACGAAGAGGAGCTTTCATGCGATTCAACCCCTGGATTCTCTACACAGAGAAGTGAACTGCAAGAAATTTATTTCTCCTTTAATGGTTGAATTTATACAACGTTTTGGTGGCGAAGGGGGGAATTACGGTGAAGAGCGAGTTGACGCGCCGACAGCGCGTGTTCCGAGTCGTGAGAACTGCAAGGTCTGGAGTTTTACGAAGCGTGTGTATGTCACGCGCGAGTGGTGCAGTTGTTTTTTGGCGGAGAGTGGTAGCTAGTAGCTCATTTTAGACGGAGGATGATTAGATTGCTTAAAGGTTAAAACAATGTACTTTTAAAACGGTAATTTAAATTATTCGGAGAATTTTCAATTTAGTCCCTCAAAATATAATTAATTGTACATTTGGATTTTAAATTATGTTTTATTACAATTTATTCCCTAAATAGTTTTAATTGTTTCTCCTCTCTTCTCTCCCTCATCTCAAAAGAGATGGAGTGGGAAAGCTTAAAGTTAAGGGAAGAGAGAGATCAATAGATATATATATATATATATAGAGAGAGAGAGAGACCCAAAAAAAAAAAGAAGTTAAAAGTGAAAAATAAAGTTTTTTTTATAAAAGAAAACGCATAAAGCATATTATTAACAAAAAAGGCACTAATGTGACACCACGTGAGCTCTTAGCCATCGTGGACCATTTATGAAAATAAAATATGGTATAAATAAATCAGAAGAATTATTTATAAAAATATTTGCTTTAAGAAGCAATCCTAAGATTTCATTTGTTTTTTGAGTTTGAAAAAGTATAAATTTTCAATAACAAAAATCTTCCGATATGTTAGGAATCTTTTATAATAATCATTCACGACCGAAATATATTTTAATTTTTAAAAATTTGATAAGAAAATAATGCTCATGTTCAAAAGATTTACAGTTCGGATAATATGTCATTATGATCCAAATACAAAGAGTCTAAATAATACATTCATCCATCACTTGATTTCGAAATATCATTTTGAACTCTTTCAAACGTCATTTGCTTCATCTCTTTTTACACAATTTAAAAAAATAGTAATAAAATAATTTTTTTATTTTTTTTTATCTTTTTTAAAATTAAAAAAATAATAATAATATATGTTAATAAAAAAGGAATATATAAAATAAAATAAAATAAAACAATTAAAATTTTGTTATAAATATAAAACAATTTGAAGTAACCTAAACAAACTTCTCGTGTTTTAAGATGGGAGGAAGAAGAAATTTAATAAACAATATTTGGTGACACTAAAAAAGTGCAAAACGCGTAGCTTAAGCCACCATAGATAATAAAAGAAAGAAAGAAAGAAAGAAAGAAAGAGAGAGTCTTGTCATGAGGTCACACAAGTGTCCCTCTTGTTCATATATATATATATATATATTTGGGGTTTTACTATTAAAAAAATGATAAATGGTTAGAAAATATGCTGAAAACATAAATTGTAGAAAAAGAAAAAAGAAAAATTTGAAGGATTACATTGATTCTTTTTTTATTTTTAAATATGTGAAAATTGATCTATATATTAATTTTTTTATTCTTTTATTTTTTTTAAATATATATATATATATATATATATATATAGTCCATATCTGTTAAATATTACTAACACTATTAACAAATTTATTATATAGCATATGAATTTATTATATAACCAGACACGTGATTGTTTTGATATAATCTTATTTGAATCGGATCTGTTCTATATTCTTGAGTTCAAAGGAGACGGAATTTCAAGTCTAATAGATAAACAGTGACTGTACGATCAAAACATAATTAATAGTAAAGACAATTTTGAACTATTGATGTTGTAAAAGATCGTTTACAGACTGCGGTGATCACCAAAGTCATCTAAAATAACATCAATATTTTTTTAATTTCTTTGTGATATTAAAAAAATAATTAAAAAATATATATTTTTTACACTTTAAATCTCACAAAAAATTTACTTAGTAAATTTAACGTACAAAAACTAATACAAATATATTTTTTAAAAATAAATAAAATAGAAGAGCAAAAGAAAGATGAGCAGCAGTGATCTACTAACCCAAAATGATTTAGCATCGACAATCCATTGATGATGGGGAATTTGGCACTGCCAGTCTACGAACGCAGCCGGGCAACTCAAGATGCACAAAGTTGGTAATTTCAGATGCCATGCGGTAAAAAAGAATGATTCAAAATATATCAAACAACCAAAAGCAAGGGAATCATTTGTGAATTTCCTTCCACATGCCAAAAAGTAAGCATTTGATTGTTTTTACACGCACTGAAGGGAGCAAATTATTGATTTTTCCGACACTTCCCGGAGGCGAGCAAGCAAATCATTTGAAAAGTTTCGATACAAATCGAGACACAAATTTTGTTGATAGTTTCCACACGCCATATGATACGAAAATCATTAACAGTATTCATTACAATCATTTGATAGTGTCCCTACGCCCAGAGAGGCAAGAAAATCATTGATACTTTTTGTGTGCCTAAAGATGAGAAAATCTTTTAGTAACGTCCCTACACCCAAGATGAAAAAATCATTGATAGTTTCCGAAAAAATCTTTTAATGGTGTCTGCATACCTAAAGGAGAGAAAACCTGTTGGTCGAGTAAATAAAAACTATAATTCTAAATTCGCTCTAAACACAGCCTTTTATTCTTTCTATCTTTTAAATTTTAATTCTAAAAGGAAATTCAATAGTAAACAGAGCAAAAGATAATTATATGATAAACATATGCCATGATTTGATGTATTTCAACGGACAAGGCAAGATTTGCGAGTGATTTCCGCTTATCGTACTGTCTATCGACACATAATCTCGCATAATCCAAAATGAATTTCTTGTGAGAAGAATGATTTGAAACAGAAACAGCCTTCAAACTACAGACCTGCCAATTGTCTGAAGGAAATAGAATGTTGTTCCTCCTCTTGTAATCCTCCTGGAAGTTATAAAATAATTGTCAGAAAGATAATAAAAATCCATGAAGTTGTGGATTTTACATTTGAAAATCAGGGAAAATACCTGGGATTATTGCAGAATTTGACTACCATAATCAGAATTAAACTTCTCATATCGATGAGCATGGAGATGAGCCGACGGTCTTGTGTTTCTCAAAGCTGTTTCTATATCTTCAGGTCTAATTGGCCCAACCTTCGGTAACTCTGCTAGCCAAACGGATCTTTCAGTTAACAATTATAGGTGATAAAACTATGCAAGAATGGTTAAAAGTTATCAGTAAAATGCTAAATAACCAGCTGCACTCTCCCTAAATGCTTCCTATAAATTGAGGTAACCTATTAAGCATCCATTCTTGTCAGAAATATTGAACTCTTGGGCAGCATACCCATAACTAGCACCAGATCGGTCTTGACATAGAGGTGGCCTTTTCGAAAAAACTACTTATGGTCCAGCAACTTGATCTCGCTGTCGAAAAGGAAGTCTAGGCTTCTTTCCTTCCTGCCGCTGTTAACGACATTTATGGATCAAGAGGATTGATTAATAAAGAATCTTATGAATATAGGTATATATTCTTTATAACTGGCTAGTAATGCACATGTTTTTCTTCTCTTACTATGAGAAGGCGTGCTACCTAAATCACTTCAGGTTCTTTGACTAGGGACATAGCTGATCTACTGCTAGTGCCCCATAACATATTAATTAAGAGGAACCCACAAATAGGCTGCATAAGCTCATAGGCACGTTACCCTAAGAGTACAGAAAATTCTCAGCCACATGCAATCTGCAGCTATGATATATGATCTCTCACAAGATTAAAGGGACAACTGCTGCCTCTTACCACTTACGGAATATATGACTCATGCCCCTTTAGATTATTTAAATTCTGTCAGTAGCATAACAACCAAGATCAATGCAGTCAATTATGTCTCTCTGAGAAGTTGGTTAGCTATCTCTCATTTTATTTTAGGATTCTTCCTATTCGTAGGTCATAAAGCACACAGGATGGGCTCGTGCTGTTGCAGCAGGATTTGAAAAAGAAATTGATTGTGATTTTGAACCCGTTCTTTTCATGACCTCTCTTAACTGATACAGGAGATTAAATACTCTTAAAGTAGGAATCAATTTCATTCTCTCATACATATTAAAGGAATCGGGTCATACTTAAAAAGTGTTCTTTTGCCCCTTCAACTCACAAGTTCTATGTCATGTTATTTTGGCTTAATGAATGCACCAGGTACATTGCAGCCACTAATGAATCATGTTTTCTGTAACCAATAAGGCATTATAGGCTTGTATTTTTTGACGACATATTAATTTATAGCTCCATTGAAGAAAATCAGTGTAATGATTTGAAGGAAGTGTTCAAGTTGTTAAGACAATCCTGGCTGTTTGCAAAGAAACCGAATTTTCCTTTATGCAAAGTGAGATTGAATACTTGGGACACTTTATTTCCAGTGTTGAAGCCAGAACAGATCCCAAAAAAAATTGAGTCTATGGTGAATTGGCCTCAACTGAAAACGGCCAAAAGAATTGAGAGCTTTCTCGGCACTCACTGGGTATTACTAGAAGTTCATCAAGGGCTATGGAATAATCATTAGGCCTCTCACTAATATGCTCTGGAAGAATGGTTTTTCATGGAGTGATGAGGCTGTACGCTCCTTCAATCAGCTCAAAGACGCTATGGTAAGTGTTCCTGTTTTGAAATTACCCAAACTCTGAACGTTTAAAGGCAAAGGCAGATGCATGTGCACGGGTACTAAAGCAGTTTTGATACAAGAAGACAGGTCAATTATCTTCTAGCAGTGAGCTCGACTGGAGGCACTATTCTCAGATCTAGGGTTGGCATTACTCATTGCAGCTGAGAAGAAGATCTAGTTACTAATAAAATTTTCAATATAACTTGAAACAACATACCATCTTCTGGCACAATTTCCTGCCTGGCTTCAAGGATAGTCATTATGCGTCTCAGAGGCTGCATTGCAGCCTCTTTGCAGAGTAACCGAATATCTGAACCTGAATAGCCTTCTGTTCTTTCCACTAAAACATCATAAGGCAAAACATCTTCATCTGGCTGCGAAGGCAGGAGTTCCTCAAACATGGCTTTTCTTGCTTCTGGTTCTGGAAGACGAACAAGGATCTAATTGTATATGGTTAAAGGTAACTTATTTATTGATTTTGTATACGCATTTGAGCAAGCATTGTACGTTAACTGTACAGAGGACCACCAAACCGAAATATTAAATTTCTTAAAGAGAAGACAAAAACAAAAGTGGGAAAAAAAAAGCACATGTCAACACTCAGAATTATTAAGAGATGCATTATTGCAACAAAAATTTCAAAAATGGAGCTTCTATTTTCTCCATGTCCACGGGCAAGATCCTGCTGAGTAAATTCTCTCTCTTCATTCAGAAACCATTTAGCTGGTTAAAAATAGAATGTACGTTGCCAATAATTTCTCTTAGCAATTCTCAAGAATAAATAGGCTGGTAGATATTGACCCCAAAAACATCATATACGGGGGTGAGGCAGATGGGAGGATATATCAGCTTTAGATCAGTTCCTATAATTAAGATCACACAAGAACTTCCACATATTAGCATGATATCTTTTTAAAAATAATAATAATAAAAAGTGTGGAATGTATTGATATAGACATCAAGGGGGTGTCAACCATGTACAAACAAATCAATTAAAGTATCAAAAAGGTTCTCTAAATTCTCTATAAAGTACAGAACCCCTTACATAAAACTAAAGGTCTGGAACCATCAATTTTGAAGAATATCAAAACCATCAACATCTTCAACCCCATCAAAAGCCCTTCTACTTCTTTCCTTCCACACCATCCAAAAAATATTTAGTGGAATAATCTCCACTAGTTTCCTGCGACCACTAATGCCCTTCTAAGCCCACAACTCTTCCCTCATGGAACTTGTCATCACCCAACTAATACCAAACAACCCATAAACCACATATTAGCATGATATCTTAGCATGTCTAAATCAACCCTTAGAATTACTAAGTGATGCATGACCGAATAGCATGCCATATGAACATGGCTCTTCTTCAAATATCATTAAGCTGATGCCAGAAACCAAGTGCTTTGAATTTTAGTCAACAAACAAATAAGTTTGTTATCCTAGTGATTTTAATATCTTGTAAACTTCGGAATAAATTAATCACTCGAAAGGATACTCGCTTCTCAAGACGCCGGAGCATTGCTGCATCCAGTTCCCAAGGGAGATTTGTTGCCGCTAAAACAAATACAAGCTCCTCTGTCTTCGTCAAACCATCCATCTGGAATCTAATTCAAGTGATCAGTTTTCTGAGAAAGTACAGTAAGGTGTCAGACATGGCTGATATGTTTAAATTACAGCAATCAATAAACGCCATCCTGCATATCACGTTTTATGATTCATGCTATGAAAGACTGACATAGTTCCAGGACAGCAACTGCAGACCACAGTATGTGCATAAATTGACATACAGCAGGATTGGTGGTAGAAAATTCAAAGGGACATGGATACATCCAACTTGAAAAGATTAATGGATTAATTGCTAGGATAAAAATCCATACTGGTCAGTATTATTCAAATTTCAAATATAACTAACAGGAAATAGAACTTTCGGGAAAATATCAGCTGATCAGATGACTTCTTGTGGTGAGTTTTAAGAAATAAGCATTAGCTGATCTAGTATCTCAAAATGGCATCCTCAGTAGCAATCATGTCCATGCTGCTTGACTTTATTGCCGAAAATAGAACTAACCACACATAAGCAATTATAATACATTAAAAAACAGCAGTAAGTTCCAAAAAATTGGCATCAAATAAACAAATATAAATTGATGTTTTCAGTCCATGCAAGAGAGACATGGCAAGGAAGAGAAAGCTACAAAATTCTAAATTTCATACTTGAACTGCAAAAGTATCAGAACCACAGTTCTAAGTACACATCACCTGTATGAGTAGCTCAGTTTTCAATCGTCTGCTCGCCTCATGTTCACTGCGCCCTTCACCACGCTGACTTATAATAGCATCAATTTCATCCAGAAATATTGTTGAAGGAGCATGGTGCCTAGCAAGCTCAAATAGCACTTTTATTAGCTTTTCTGAATCACCTGTAATGATAAAAAACTTTATCATTAGATATGACAATATTATATCATAAAAAGGTTCTTGTAAAGATAGAAGTGATATCAATCATATGAATTTTTTGCATTTTCAGCAGCTACCTGAGAGTGAAATTAGTAAAAGCTATCTGACTATTGTTTGAATATTTGACATCAGTAAATCATGCTTTGGCTAAATATTATTGCCTCACAGTTCTCCTATAAGATAAATTTTAAGATTGTTTACCCATTTTAGTCCAATCTGCACAAAATTGTAGATGGTACAGAGAAAAGTTTTGTTCACATACCCCGCCATTTGCTAACGACTGATGAGGCTGAAATATTGAAAAATGTAGTTTTGCATTCGGTTGCAACGGCCTTTGCAAGCATTGTCTAAAACACCAGGATCTCAATTAGTGAAAAAAACATCCAATAGGAAGGGTGGGATGTGTATATCAATCTACTTATTGAAAAGCACGAGTACCCACCTGTATTGGTGGTAAGGAGTAAGGAAAGAAAGCATACGCAAGTAGCAATGACTAAGGAGAGAAAGAAATTTCCTCCCACGATTTGAAATATTTTTAATTTCTTTCAAAAAAAAAAAGAGAGAAATTTCAACCAAACAATGAGAAGTTTACAAACTACTATATTTACAGAAACAAAGTTTACAAACCTTTCCTGTCCCAGGAGGACCAAAAAGGAGAATTCCTTTCCATGGTGATAGCAGACCAGTAAAGTACCTAGAACCAGAGAGTTAAAACACAATTAGAATGAGAAGTTCAAGGTTCTAACCTCATAAATCATATTTTTTATAGAATAAAATTTGACAAGAAACTGAATTTTCTGTCAGTTACTTGATCATTGCAGAATTGCTTTCTTAGATTCTTGAAGTGGGAAAAGCAGAGTCAATAAAAGCCTTTTTTTCAGTATGAAGTCTGCTGTTTTCAAACAAATGGAATAAATAAGAAAACACCTTCTGTCTGATATCAGAAACCATCATCACCTAAAACACAAAAGACTGTGACTAAGATCTGCATTCTTTCCCACCTGAGTCATGGAATTGACATGAATTTCTAAGTTTTCCTTAGACCAGAAAAAAAGGCAATGGTGTACTCCATATGGCAAACAGGACTATCTAACCATCAGAAATAGGATGTCTAGAACTTTTATATCTTCGTCTTACAGTTTCTGGTCCAACAGTTAAATCATGCAGAGTGGTTGAATCCAAATGAATGCAAGGTCTCCAAACCACAATATATTATGCAAACCCTAAAAACAAAGCAAGTGGTGAAGTAAAACAGCCCATAAAAGCTCTAAAGAGCGGACTCCTTGGTCACATTGTCTCACATAAAAAAGACATTCTTTTAAGGTGAAAGCAAGAAAGAGGAGCAAAAATGACTTGACAGGATATCAGGGAATGCAACATATATCTGGCAAAATAATAAAGATGATGATTAAAATTGATTTCTGCAGATTGCAGTCAACCTTAAACCTCACATAGGATTGGGTCTTAATCACATTCTCAATGCAATCATGTGAAGCTATCTAAAAAATGTTAACACTAGAAATTACTTATCATTATAAGCACTTGTCTTTATTTTCATCACTCTAACCATGCCTTCAGTAAAAGGAGACACTATTAATCTCTGATATTTTGGAAGGTTGAGTGTGGAACACCAAGTCATACATTGTGTAAAGATATTGTAGTCTATAAGATGGACTAAACCTACTTGGGATACTTTATAGGCATCACAACAGCTTCTTTAAGCAAACGTTTAGCGTTCTCTAAACCTTTGATGCTTTCCCACTTAACATCTGGACTCCCTCGAATGATATCCCTGCACATAAATACATTGTGAGACAATCTGAAGAATACAGAATTTCAAAGTTCAATCATGCAATACAAATTCAATAATTTAACAGGTGCATAAAGATGAGCCTCAGCATGATCATAATTACCTACTCAAGCTCTCAGCTAAAGCACGCATTTCTGCAGATTCAAAAGGAGGGAACAGTGACTTCTGGCTGAAAAGATGAAGAGAAAAGATGATTAAATTCTAAAACTGAAAAAAAAAAAAAAGATAGATTGTTTAATATTACCACAACATTAAGCATAGATAATAAATTTACACAAAACACTCAAACAACAAAGGGGGTTCACGGTTCAGATTTGACTTGAAGTTTATCAAATTAAAATTTCTACAAATTGATGCTGCAGTATGGTTAATTCCTTAATCTGATCTACTAGGTGTTTTATAAACAAATGCATGATATGAAGAAGCAACAAGGATCAATGAATCAAAGGGCCATACGGTTTTTCATCTATTCCATTAGATAAAACTCCATTCAGTTGAGTTGTGCTTGAGTTCCTATCCTGCGTAACACAGAAGGTATCACGTATAATCTTGCAAAGTAAAGAAAGGCTGTGGACCATGATTATGCAGTGAGTCCAATCACATATACCTGTTTACGATACTGCTCATAAATGGCCATATCAGACTGGTTCCTCACATGCCCATTGCCATTTGACGCATTCCCATTAGATTCTGCTCCAACAGGGGCTTGACCGTTTTGTGGCTCGGGTGTCTTCCTTCTCCCAAACTTGGCATCATAGAACAGTTTAAAATCCTATAGATACAAATAACTTCTTACAAGAAATGCACAGTTCAGGGCCTAAATTTAGCAGTTAACTTCTTACAAGAAATGCACAGTTCAGTGCCTAAATTTAGCAGTTATTCACCAAAATTTCACGCACAAAATAACCAGACAGACGACTCGAGCGCCTTCCATCACTAACCAAGACAAAACCATTAGTAGACTGATTTTAAGTTTATAAACATGAAAAAAAAAATAAAAAAATAAAAAAAAAAGAGAGAGAGAGAGAGACAGATGAACTTCTAAAAAGCAATGACGGACATCGAGGAGGAAAGTAAATCAGTGAGAGGATCAAGAAAATCTACTAAAATAACGAACAACCGATTGAAACAAGTAACAAGTTCTCACAGAACAGTTTGACTTAACCAAAAATAGTGGAAACAAAAAAATAAATAAACAAATTCATTTTCCGAAAACGAAAATATCGAAGTAAATCGGAAGTCAAACGAAAATCCTCCAATGTCCAAACGGTAATCCATCTCCGAACAAAATGTCAGTTCCTTTAATTATCGGAAATCAAGCAAAAACAACTTTCTTCAAGCTAAAAAACTAATTACATTTCAGTACCTGAAAGCTCCACCGCGTGGGGAGAGGATCATCATTACTCATTGCAAGTAATCTACAGCAAAGAGAAGAAGAAGAAGAAGAAGAAGAAGAAGAAGAAGAAGAAGGAGAAAGAAGAAATACAACTCTCTCTACTAGTTCTCCTCGCTCCCTCGATCTCGATCGAATTCTCCGGAACACTGGTTCGGACAATGGAGCAGAAGATGCAGAAGAAAAGACAGCTTGTAATTCAATTTATAAATAGATTCAAAAGAATCATTGCGCGTGGATATATTAGTTTGTTGTAATTAGATGCATAATTAATTAATTTAATTGATATGATTAGTTTAATTAATAAATCTTAATTTATATAATTTTTTTTTAATTAAGTACGTCATAATTTTTTAAATAAATTTAATTATTTTCCCCCATTGAGTGTTAATGATTAAGCTTAATTCTATGTTGTAATTAGATGCATAATTAATTAATTTAATTGATATGATTAGTTTAATTAATAAATCTTAATTTATATAATTTTTTTTAATTAAGTACGTCATAATTTTTTAAATAAATTTAATTATTTTCCCCCATTGAGTGTTAATGATTAAGATTAATTGTATGTTTAATTAAAAATTTTATTGGATTATAATATTTAAAACTTTTGGATTGTTAGTTATTTGGAAGAAGATTTGAATTGTGAAACTCTTATGATATGACAGTTAAACACGTGTGTGTGTGTGTATGTATATATGTATGTATATATGTATCTAAACTTTGGTTAAAAACTTTGTTATGATGAGACGGTTAAAGTATATTGATTTTTGTACAAGTAATTTATCATTATTGTTCTCACTTTAATAAGTGTAGTTACAAATATATATATATATATATATATATTTGTTGTGATTTTTTAAGGGGGTGAATAAAATTTAAAATTTTTTTATTAATTTTATTTACTTTAAAATTAATAATTTAAATTTTTAAAAAATAATATAATATTATTTAAAAGATAAATATAAATAAAATATTCTAAAAAATAAAGTCTAAAAATATTATAAATCTAATTAAAGATAAATTATATTTAAATTTAAATTAATAAATAAAATTATTTATAATTTATAAAAATACTCTAAAACATGTTCGAGAAAAATGCTATAAGAGAATTAATTATAGATTTTGACGAGAAGTACATTAAATTATTAAAGATTTTGACGAAAAATACATTAAATTATTGAATATTTCGATGAAAAATGCATCAAATTATTGAAAATCGATGAAAAATGCATTAATAATTAAAGAGAAATGCTTTAAAACGTGAAGATTAAACTAGAAATATACGAGAGAAGTATTCTAACAAAATAAATTTAGTAATTATAATTTATACATTAAGAGATAGTATTGAAAATTAATGTAAAAATTATAAATTATTTTATTTATTAGTTTGAATTTAAATAAAATTTATTTTTAATTAAATTTAGAATAATTTTATTTTTAAAAAATCATGTTATTAGTTGAAATTTATTTTTTTTTTTAAAATTTGATTTATATTTATCTACTTAAATTATTTTTATAAAATTTGTATTTAATATAATCTTATTTAAAAACACTTTGGTATAATTATTATTTGATTTATTATTTCTCTTACATACGTGTATATATATATATATATGGATATTTGTATATATGTATATATGTAAGAGTACGGGTCTTTTTAGTGGGCCACAAGTAAAATTCCAAGTTTGGCAAAATGAAACCAAACGAAGCCCTAAAGCCCATGAAACCCAAAAAGCCCGGCCTGTAAAACTTCAAACGGTGCCGTTTCTTTCTCCTTTTTCTGCTGCGGTCAACAGGGGGCTGAAAACAGGTTTTCGGAGAGAAGCGTTTTTAGAGGTTCTTGTGTAGGCTTTGAGGGAGGAGAGGAGGGATTTTTGGAAGAAGAACCAGAGGCGAAGACGGGAAGGGAAAGAGGTGAGAATGCAAGTTGAGAAGACAGAGAGGGACTTGTGAAGCAGAAGAGAGTGAAAAGGGAGGAGTGAGCGAAGAAGCGGGGAGAGACTACCAGCTCCTCTTTCTGTTTTCTCTTGAAAAACGAAAGGAGAAATAGAGAAGGGAACTACAGAAGTAGGCTCGGCTTAGTTCAACGGTATACCTAACTTTCATTTCTCTGGTTCGATATTTGTATGACACCATTAATTAATTGCAATTAAAGAAAATTGCCTCTGGAAGCTGTGTCATTTTGCATATTGAAATTGACGAATTGTTGAAATATGCTTATAAAATCCTTCTAGTCAATTCTCCTTTCATAGTTTTGGATCCAAGTATCCTGTTGTTGCAATCCTAAACTTTTATACTTGATTCACGACTGTTGTAAGCTGAATGTGGAGAAACGGTGCAGATTGAAATTTTTTAGAATCTGAAGAACGTCTGTTTGGGTTGAAATAATGGTTTGGGGTGTTTGATATCGTGCTTGGTTCCTTTTTGTAAACTTGGACTGATTATCATATAAGAGTATGGATGTCAATATTAAGAAACTGCAATTGAGTGAACTTAGAATTTGAACGTTGGATGGGTTTGCATGCATGGCATAGTACAATGTGAAAGGAGGAGGATTTCAATTATAAGTTTATCTTGTATTGCATTGATGTTATGGTTATGGTGCTGACACTTTGCAATTACTCTGGTTCCCACTTGCAGCATCCGGTGGTTGATGTTAAGAAAGTTTACGGGAATTGTTCTAGTAGTAAATTCAGGTGCAACTGTAGCTTCCATGATCAAGTTCCGTTCCTTAAAAGCAGGAAAGGACTTGCTTTTTTATAGAAGCCTTGATGATGGGAGGCTTGCATTTACTTCTCGATTATGCTCAAGGTTTGAATCTCTTAATTATTCAATGCCTAGGAATATTCGTTGTTATGGGCCTAATGAAAATTATTTCAGATTATGTGCACCTAGTTATGTATCATTTCCTAAGAGACACTTCTCTCAAGTTCCGGGAGTGGCAAGAAATAATGATGTTATTGGTATAAGAAATGGAAGGAGCAGCAGGGAGAGGTTGGCCTTCAAAGGGTTGCATAAGCAATGGAAGAAGCCAAATGCTGTGGGTATGCTGTCTAAAACTGAATCTACTAATACAACAGTCTTTGCATCAAAAGATGGCAAGGTTGCTTCTAGTGAGCAGCTAATTGGAGATGGGAACAGTGATGTAACTGTTAGATCACCTACAGCAACTTCATCTACTGGCAGTGGTAAGCAAGATTCTCAAGTCAAAGGAAAGGATGGGCAACATTTAAGAGGCCGAAAAAATCATGAGAAACCCTTTGTCCCCGAAGCTTCAGAAGAAGCCACTTTAACAAAACGTTCTACAAATGGTTCTTCGACAAAGAGCTCTACTTCGAGGAAAAGCAGCAAGAGATCACTCAAGGGTTTGGAGGTTAGAGATTTTCAATTTTTGGAAGGCTTGGGGTTATTCTCCTTTATTTTGTTTTAATATTTTAACTAACACTACAGTTTCCAGAAGAGTTCAACCTTGAACACACCTGCAGAAGTGCTTGTTGATTCTGTTTCAACCAAAAAGAAAGGCAGCAAGAAAAGTGGGAAATCTGAGGCGAAGAAAAAATCTGTAAAAGGTAAAAATGAGTCACTGGAGAAAGAGAATCCTCAAAGCACAAGGAAGCTTGGAATTCAGAGACAAAATATTCTGAAGCAGCTATATCCACCAACTGGGAAATCTATCATTGTCGTTGAGTCTCTTACAAAAGCGAAAACAATTCAGGGATACCTTGGGGATATGTATGAAGTCTTGCCAAGTTATGGGCATGTAAGGGATTTAGCTGGACGGTCAGGATCTGTACGACCTGAAGATGACTTTAGCATGGTTTGGGAGGTTCCATCTTCGGCCTGGACTCATCTTAAGAGCATCAAGGTTTCACTGAGTGGGTAAGGTGTCTTGTCCTTTATGATACTTCTGATGATGTTCCACATCATAAATTATTATATTTATCATCCAAGCATACGGAATTTTTATGGATAAAGGTGGGCACTAAGTGATATTTCTTTAAATCCCGTTTAAGCCACCCTCATTAACATTATAGCAAATCGAGCCTTATTGACGTGAGTTGCCAACATATAATCTATTTTTGCTGATATTAAAAAAATTTCACCTTCTGTTTATCTTATCTCTCAGAGCAGAAAATCTTATTCTTGCATCAGATCCGGATCGTGAAGGGGAGGCAATTGCATGGCACATCCTTGAGATGTTGCAACAACAGGATGCCTTACATGAAAATACTACAGTAGCAAGGGTTGTCTTTCAGGAAATAACTGAGTCGTCTATCAAAAATGCTCTGCAAAACCCACGAGAAATTGATGCAAACTTGGTTCATGCCTATCTTGCACGGCGTGCTCTTGACTATTTGATTGGTTTTAATATTTCACCATTATTATGGAGGAAACTACCTGGTTGTCAATCTGCTGGGAGGGTTCAATCTGCTGCATTATCTCTTATATGTGACAGAGAAATGGAAATTGACGAATTTAAGCCACAAGAGTACTGGACAGTTGCTGTTGTGTTGCATGACAAAGAGCATTCATTCTTTCTTCCAGCACATCTGACCCATTACAATTCAAAAAGGTTGAATCAACTCTCTATTAGCTCTGACTTGGAGGCAAATGATATCAAGCAGAAGATAAATTCAGAAAAATTTCAAGTATTGAGCTCAAAAACAGGCATAATTCGGAAGAACCCTCCTACTCCATACATAACATCAACACTTCAGCAGGATGCTGCAAACAAATTGCAATTTCCAACAATATACACAATGAAGGTTTAGAGATTTGTAAATTATCTGCTATGTGGTCTACTTTAACTTTCCTAAGTAAAACATAATTTAATTGTATCACATGGATGCAGCTTGCACAAAAACTTTATGAGGGGGTTATGTTATCAGATGGTGAGGCAACTGGTTTAATAACGTACATGAGAACAGATGGACTTCATGTGAGTATCTCTTTTCTGAATGATTTTCTGTCTGCTGCCTGGTTATTCTATCTGCTGCTTTATTTATTGTATACAAGATCCTTGTGGGGGCAGTTGTCATGCTTTATATTGTTACTTTCTCTTAATTCATTCAGGTTCTTTTTGAGATGATAGTCATTGATGTTTAGTGACTTTTGGATTTTATTTTTTTGAGAATGAATTTAATATTCACAAGGGACTTGAAATTTTGTAACCTTTTTCTTTTTTTTTTTCATATGCTTTTGGACT